GTGACCTCTGACTCTGGGGAACTGTGGCCGCTTTCAGCCCTGAAAAAATAAACGCACTAACTGACTCCTAATTTTAAATATATGTTTTTAAAAAATGAAGATGCCTCCACAGGTCAGATAAAATGACACTAATGCGGATTACATCATGTTTTTTAAAATCAGACCTGGAGTAAAGAGACTTTATTAAAACCAGTGTATGAAATGAAAACGATTCCCTTTAGTTGAAGAAGCAAAACAAAACCCAACAGTGAGCTCGTTGTTTTAAATTTGTCGCAGATGATGAAAACCATTAAAACTCTCTTCAGGGGCCGACGGTCTTGTGACCCGACGCTCTGTGAAGAAAATCCAGACCTCAGCCTTTATCAGCCTTCGTCACACACGCTTGAACTTTAATCATCGCGGAGCTCCATTAAGACAAACTAGCGCCGACAGGATAAGTGGTGTTTGTGGCGAACAGAACTCGGCGATAAGCTCCGATCCGTTCGCCGCTCGCCGCCTCGGCCCACTGCGGTTAACTTCCTCCCCCTCTGCTCCCCTCAGCTGGTCGGGCTGCTGCTGATCGGAGTGGCAGCATGGGGGAAGGGCTTCGGCCTGGTGTCAAGCATCCACATCATCGGAGGGGTCATCGCGGTGGGCGTCTTCCTGCTGCTCATCGCCATCGTGGGACTCATCGGAGCCATACACCACCACCAAGTCATGCTGTTCTTCGTATCCTTTGACGTTGAAGTCCATCTGTTGTTGGGGCTACACGATGCAGTGAAATGTGACTTTTCTTTCAGGCAGTAAACGTAGCGATAGATGCTACAACGGCACATTTTTAGTCGATGGTGTTCGTATAAATCACAACTGGCTATTGTCGTTGAATGTATGTTTTTCCTTTCCTGCTTCAGTCGATGTTTTCTTCTCCACCAGCCGCCTCCTCTGCCTTCATTTTGTTTTTATAATAATCACCTACACACCTCTTTATCTTCAGCATGCACAACAGGTGAATATGTTGGGGACCAACGAGCAGAACCAGAGAAACAATAAAAAAGTAGGACTTTGCAACACCACGGCTAACGCAGAAGCTACTCGACCTGATCTTTCACTTCATATTTTAACTCTTAAAAAACGGTCGTGACCATTTTGGTTGCAGTCTGGAGAAAAAGTAACAGATTATAGCTGTGCTGCTGCCTAAAGCTGAAATGCTCTCGTAAACCGTGATATGAATACGAAGAGTCCATTTGCAAAAACAGATAACTCCGTCTACACAAACCTTCAGAAAACCCACTGAGACAGAATTGATCAAACTTTAGTTATCTCTGTTCTTGTCATTTCTACTGAGTCAAATCCACTCAGTTTGATTGATATTATCTCAAGCAAACAACAACAAAACTGTTGTCTGAAAACCTACAAAAGTTGAGTAATCTGGTTTTGCAAATGAAATCTGCGTACTTAGACCTTTGTGGTAAACTCTGACCTGGAGCCAACACACATCACTAGACTGTCATGACTTAGCTGATTAACTAGTAGCAAATGTAGAGAGTAAAAAAAGACTGATCTGAAGTCAGTTGATGTTTGTTGGCAAGATATTACCTCTGTGAAGCCATGGATGGATAGATACTTA